CATTGGCAGAGAGATCTGATTGTTGGGACTCTCTGCTTGTGTAGAGTTGAAAACCACATTCACAAGGCTGTCAACCAGCAGACCCAGTGAGACCCTATTACAAAGAAGTTCACTCTTTTTCCCAATTAACACATTCTTCAATATTTGAAGATAAATATTCCATCTCCATTAAAATGTATTTTCTCCAGGTTAAAATATCTCTGGTTAACCCTTTCTCTTGTCTTATTTTCCTTATATATTTCTATCCTAGACCACATTGCCTGGGTCTACTAACATAAGGCATTGGTGATATTAAAGTATGTTGCCACAAAATAAGCTAATCACCCCAAATTTTGTCTGACAGTACGAAGAAATCAAAATTATCACTTCTCTATTTATCCTTTTCTTCTATTAATGCAGCCCAGGACCACTACTATTATATAGAAACATCATTAGAATGAAATCTGATATGTTTGCAAATAATAGGTTTGCTGCATAAAAAGACACATAATAAGAAACTAATTAATGATGCCAGGAACCCACACTGTAAATTATAATTAAGTTATAATTTAATATACTAAGAAAAACCCAACTTTTAAGTGGTATATATTCAGAATTAGAAAATTTAGAAATAGACATTCAACTGAGCTCAATACAAGAGAGTCCCTATTGAAAGCAAAATCACTACTCCATGAGATTAACAAGAAACATCTCTTGGAGAAGATGAAATTTGAGCCAGACCCAACCGGGAAGAACTGTAGTTACACATCTGACCTTTTCTTTGAAAATGGAGACAGAATACAATCTCCACTTCTCTTGTTAATTGGCCCATAACAACCCCCTCAACCTGAAACTACCACCCTCAGGCCTTGCCTAGATACATATAAACAGGTCCTTTGGTAGGAGAGTTTACCTAAAACACAACACAGTAAAGAAACTACCTCTCCACAATGAGGGTCACATCTGGCTTGAGTCTCCTCATACTGGCCTTTGCTATTCCTCCACTGAGTCGTTCATGAGCAATCCCTGTCTATTATCCATGAGATCTAGAATTCTTCGGGGAAAAAAAGTGGAATGCTATGTCATATCACAAAATTGTGTGATGAAAATGAAAAATCGTCTTTGATATTGATAAATTTAATTTATAAATCAAATTTATAAAATCTCTTGTCCACAAATAATTATAAAGACAATATTTTGGTCTATATCTTTTTAACACTGTTTTCCTTTTTTCTAGATGGTTTTAGAGGTACCAAACATAAATTTAGTTTGACTATGTATGTTACTTATATCAACTGTTATAACGTTGTTTTGAAATTACTGCATCCATTTAAGTTTTTATCATGTTATCAAATAGAATTTTATCCCTTATGAAGGGATCCCTTCATGAGGATTTTCTAATTTCATTTTTGGCAAATGAATCCAGAGAGGGTAAATGAAGACCCAGAACTCAACCCCACATATTCTAATTTCAAGTTCAATCCTCTTGCACTATGCCACCCTGATTCTAACACCAGTATGTAACCATCGATTTAAAACCTTGAGAAAATAAACTATAATTAAAATATGTCTTTATGTCTAATGTATGGCCTGCACAAGCAAAAATCAGTTATAAAAAGAATTAAAGGAAAAATTTAGATCTATACAAATCATTACTTACCCATAAACGAAAGCTTTAAATATGTTCCCTACTAAATAGATTAATGTAGGAAGTAGTTTTCAGTGCTCTATTTATGTGAGTAAAAATAAAGCTATTTCATTTTGAGCATTTCCTCAAAATTACCTTACATTACTCAGAACTTCTAGTGATTTTTTTGATCTACCTTTCAAATAATCCACAACAACAACAGATGATATTCAGTTGGTGCTGATTTTATTCTATAACTTGTGAAATATGCTTTATGTTTATTATTTCATGTATTCCTGTCAAATAAACTATGGGAAATGTCCTGCCCAGAAGACCTGGGCAGTCTCAGTTCTTCTGTCTATATTACCTCCAGTTATCCACTGAGATTTGAAAGGGTAAAGAATTTACAAAAATCCACAAAGTTACATATTATACCTATCTTGATCATCTGGCTTCGCAACCCTTATGTTATTCACTATAGTCTGCAGTTTGTACATGAAAACTCTTTCTTTTAACAGATTGGGATTAATACAATGGCCATGCCACAGGTAAACCCTGACACTGTGCATGGTGGAAAAACCTATGGCCATCTTTGCCATGAAGATCAGGTGAAGATATCAATAGAGCCAAAATATGGACTCTACTTCAGGTGGACACAATATGGACCTCTACTTCAAGTTCCTCAAGAGATGGAAGAAAGCTAGTCAACAGCCTCAAATCAAGGATGGAAATACTAAGCTCCAACACTTGGAAATAACTCAATTTATCTGGAAAACCAAGACAAGAACCCAGGTCTGGTGGCTTTCAACCAATCCAGAGCCCAAATACTATTTCCAGAATTCCATCCATCATATCTATGATCCCTAGAAATAAAATTCCTTTCACTTATTACTTTTGTTATTAACTGGCACATAACATCTATAAAACACTTTATAGTTTATAAAACAACTTTCAGAGCTTCTGCCTTGGTAATCCTTACATAGCATCATAAGGTAGACATTAATAATCTCACTTATCAGCTGAAAGAAAGGAAGCTTTCAGAGACTATGGACAAAATTATAGAACTACAAGTGGCAGATGAGTCCACAAGCTCAGGGTTTAACTAGTATTTGTCTTACACATTTGCATAAGGAAGCTAAGAAAACATTTAGCTTCACTGAACACCTGGGCAGTCTTAGTTCTTCTGTCTATATTACCTCCAGAGCAAACATTAAGGTGTCGATAATGTTAACTCTGTTCTTCTAACTTACAAAAGCTCATTCTCTAAAATAATTACCAGTCTTTCTGAAGCTGAAGTCTAGATTTAGCCTAATCTCCTAATTAGCCTGTTTTGATCATTCCACATGCATACCTATATCAAAACATCACATTGTGTCCCATAAATACAGAGGGTGCCAAATATGTATTTTAAGAACCTGTATTAAATTTATAATCCTCCAGTCACGTTTGACTTCTACAATTACAAGAGGTGTTCAATGTGACTTGTATTCAGTTTTTTGTCATTTGTATATACTATTGCAATTTTAATATAGTCTTTTCCTTTCTCAAAATGTATATACATTTATGTACCTCTTATATATGCAATTATTATTTGTTAATTTAAAATTAGATAAAACTTTAAAAATTCAATTCACTATAAATGTAAGAGTTTAGTTTTGAACTCTTAAGTCTATTACATTGATCTATATGTTACCTTTATGACACCACAATCCTGTTTTGATCACTATAAATTTGTAGTAACTTTTTTTTTATATAAATTTATAGTAACTTTTAAAATTAGGAAGTGTAAGTCCTCCAACATTCTTTCTCAACATTGTTTTGCCTGTTCTATTTGTCTTATATTTTCAAAAGATTTCTAGAAACAGCTCATACATTTTTTTCAAAAATGGCAGCTGAGATTTAGATAAAAATTACACTGAATCTATAGATTAATTTGGGGAATACTTTCATCTTAACAATATTAAGTCTTGCTGGACTGGAGAATTTTACTATAAAGGCATTGGAACAGATGACGAAATATGAATGAGGTCTTGAGATGAAGGGTACATTTAAAGTTATTTGATCTTTTCTTACAATAGTAAATTCAAAATAAAAATTTAAAAATGTGTTCTTCTTAATTATAATGCAAAGAAGATATTAATAACCAGATAAACTTTTTCTTATGAAAGAGGCCAACCTCCAAGAGAGCACAGCAGTGATTTCAGAGAGTTCAATATCAATGAGAATAGGGAAAGTATTTACTACACTGGCTGAGTTCTGAGGTATTCTCAAACAAACCACAAGGCTCTCCCACTTTTTCCACTCCCAACACACTCTGAAAATATCTAAAGATTTTTTAGGGAAGGAACCCCCAATTTTA